GGAGGTGGGGTTAATTACGTGCTGTGCTTTGTGCACACATGACCACGCGCTGTCTACTGTTTTTCCTCTGTTCTTTTCTTGTTTTGAGCTGTTTCTTTACTTTTTCTCTTGTGTTCTCCTTTTTTTGGCGTTTGAGGGGTTAGGGGTTGGGGTTGGGGGGGGGGGGGGGGGGGGGGGCGGCGGGGGGGGGAGGGGTAATTACGTGCTGTGCTTTGTGCACACAGGACCACGCTGTCTACTGTTTTTCCTCCTTTTTTTCTGCCTTTGAGGGGTTGGGGGGGGGGGGGGTTAATTACATGCTGTGCTTTGTGCACACATGACCACGCTGTCTACTGTTTGTCTTTTTTTTGTTTTGAGCAGTTTCTGTAATTTGCCTTTTGTTTTTTTCCTTTTTTTTGGCGTTTGACCCTCAAACCCAAAACCACAGAGAGTCAAGTACAGTGCCTGCAGCAAACCCAAAAATCCTGGGCCCTTCAAACCCTAACCCTAAACCCTCCACCAGGCCCAAAAATCCTCTACTCTTTTCCTCTAAACCCAACAGCCTGAAGCATGTCCAAAAGTCGTCTGCCCTTGAACCCCAAACCCTAAACCCTCCAGTGTATTTCCAAAAGGTCTCTGCCCTGAAGCCCCAAACCCTAAAGCCTCCAGGGTCAGCCCAAAAGGTCTCTACCCTTAAACCCTCAACCCCAAATCCCAAAAAAGCCCAAAAGATCTCTACCCTGAAGCCCCAAACCCTAAACCCTCCACTGTGAGCCCAAAAGGTCTTGCCCTTAAACCCTAAACCCCAAATCCCACAAAAAAGCCCAAAAGATCTGTACCCTGAAACCCCAAACCCCATATCTCCAGTGCAAGCCCAAAAGGTTTCTACCCTGAAGCCCGAAACCCCAAATCTCCAGTGCAAGCCCAAAAGCTTTCTGCCCCTAACACCCGTCGTCGTAGCAGTAGCAGTAGCAGTAGCAGTAGCAGTAGCAGTAGCAGTAGCAGTAGCAGTAGCAGTAGCAGTAGCAGTAGCAGTAGCAGTAGCAGTAGCAGTAGCAGTAGCAGTAGCAGTAGCAGTAGCAGTAGCAGTAGCAGTAGCAGTAGCAGTAGCAGTAGCAGTAGCAGTAGCAGTAGTAGTAGCTAGTAGCAGTAGCAGTAGAAGGAGCAGTAGCAGTAGCAGTAGCAGTAGCGTTAGCAGTGCAGTTGAGCAGTAGCAGTAGCAGTAGCAGTAGCAGTAGTAGTAGTAGTAGTAGAGTCGTAGTAGTAGAGTAGTAGTAGTAGTAGTAGTAGTAGTAGTAGTAGTAGTAGTAGTAGTAGTAGTAGTAGTAGTAGTAGCAGTAGTAGTAGTAGTCGCAGTAGTAGCAGTAGCAGTAGTAGCAGTAGTAGTAGGAGTAGGAGTAGTAGGAGTAGGAGTAGGAGTAGGAATAGGAGTAGGAGTAGGAGTAGGAGTAGGAGTAGGAGTAGTAGTAGAAGTAGTAGTAGTAGTAGTAGTAGTAGCAGTAGTAGTAGTAGTTGCAGTAGTAGGAGAAGTAGTAGAAGTAGTAGTAGTAGTAGTAGTAGTAGTAGTAGTAGTAGGAGTAGGAGTAGGAGTAGGAGTTGTAGTAGTTGTTGTTGTCGTTGTTGTTGTTGTTGTTGTTGTTGTTGTTGTTGTTGTTGTTGTTGTTGTTGTTGTTGTTGTTGTTGTCGTTGTGGGGTTGTTGTTGGTTGTGTTGTTGTTGTTGTTGTGGTTGTTGTGTTGTTTTGTGTTTTTGTTGTTGTTGGTGGTGTTGTTGTTGTTGTTGTGTTGTTGTTGTTGTTGTTGGTTGTTGTTGTTGTTATTGTTCTTGTTCTTGTTCTTGTTCTGGTTGTTGTTAGTCTTGTTGTTGTTCTTGTTCTTGTTCTTGTTCTTGTTCTTGTTGTTGTTGTTGTTGTTGTTGTTGTTGTTGTTGTTGTTGTTGTTGTTGTTGTTGTTGTTGTTGTTGTTGTCGTTGTCGTTGTCGTGGTTGTTGTTGTTGTTGTTGTTGTTGTTGTTGTTGTTGTTGTTGTTGTTGTTGAAGCACTACCAGCTCAAGCCGCCCGCGCATGGTAGCTGTCGAACCGGCCAAGGCCCCGAACTTCATCTCTTTAACAGCTTTCGGGGCCCACCTAACATCTCAAGGCTTTCTAGCTCTTGCCAGCTGATGGTCACTTTGAGGCTTTAGCCTCTTGCAATTGAGATTCAGCCGCAGACAGCATATCCACGAGCTGGCCCGGTCCCAATTCCGGGGGGAGACATAGACCGTCTTAGATTGCATCTATCACTCCCAAGTGTGAGGGTTCTCGTCTTTCCGCAGGACGAGGGGAGTCTGATCGTGCCTCGGCACTTCAGGCAAAACAAGCGGATGGCAGAGGGATAATTTTGAGGCTTTTACAATGGATGACGGGTTTTTCTATGCGCTGGTTCACAAAGCAGAGCAATGGTGTTCTTAGTTCATGCAGATCTTACCGCGGCTTGACAACAATCAACAGTGTTTTATTTCAGTGGCATGTCTACAGATGCTGTCCGACGAAGCGGTCCTACTAACGGGAGCCTCGAGCCCCAGCCAAGTTGACGGAGACAAGCCTGAGTCCCTGCTGCGCTAGCGGCAGATCTCTATACGGCCCTTCATCATTGCCTCTGGTACTCGGAAGCTGAAGTCGGACGGCACTGGCCAATGCGTATTTGCAAATCTGGTATTGTTCACAGTTCAGGCGAGAAAGTCTTCTGATGTTTCATCACCAGCTTTGAGGATGCCGCGCAGCAGTTTCTAGTTTGAGGGGAAGCCATTTACCCAACGTGTCTCAATGTATTCTACCCCAAGCCTTCAGTACTGAGCTAGGTGGGCTGGCGCGGCCAGCGCTTGGCGCGGCTGCAGACCTAGGGGAGAAGGTCGTGACGGCCCGCTTGCTCCAGGAGAAGCTCTTGAGTGGTTACGCAGTCCAAAAGAACTCCGCTGGGACACTCAGTGCAAGGGTATTAGCCCCGAAAGCTATGCTCGCACGCTTTTACACAACGCTCTCCTCGGCTTGTTTCTTCGCTGCGCTTGTGCTCTCAACGTCACACCAACCCACCTTGAACCCAACACCCTACACACTTTCACTTGCACATCTTCCAATCAATGCTGGTGAGAAGGCCAACATTTCAGCCAAGTAGTCCCGTTCGTCGGGTCAGGCTCATGCAGTGCCTAGTAGTCCCGCTCGTCGGGTAAGGCAGCAAGATGTAACTTTCATTTCTTTGCTTGGTCAAGACAGCCTAGAAGTCCCGTCCGTCGGGTGAGGCAGTGCTGTGGCCTAGTAGTCCCGTTCGTCGGGTAAGGCGCTGAAGAATGATGCTAGCTGGTTGCCAGTTGTTATTTCAGTTTCTTTTAACTTACACTGCAGTGGCAGCGGCCTTAGCAAGAACATCTCTGGAAAAGGCGTTCTCCATGAGAAGCCTAAGTTTCACCAGCTCAGCGCTTTCACGCCACCCTCCGCTAGCAGAAGCGGCCTGAGCCATAATTCTCCTCGAGTGAGGTCGCCTCCTGGCAAGCAATCCACTCTAGTGAGTTCTCTCCTGAAGGATTGCAATGTCCCTGTGCGAACTTTAGCCTATGCAACTACTTAGCAGGGTTTCACAGCTCAGACTTTTCCGCTTCATTTCGCTCGTTGTAGGCTGTGGTTGAGTAGCTGCCGCTCAAGCCATAAGCACCACTCTGGAGCTACTGCTTTTCCTTACATGCACGCTTCGTCGCTCATATCTGCTGCATCAGCAGAGCCTGAGCGCGGGAGAATTTTGTCTAGTAGCAGCAGCCCATAGTCTTAAGCGCTAGCTCTTCTTCTCAACTGACCGAGCTTTTAAGTCGGGGATAACCCCTCCGGAACTGTGAATAATACTTTGATTGATTGCTCTGCTTTTTGAACAACTGCACTGCTCTACTCATGGGTTTTGGGTTTCAGGTCGTGTTTCCTTGTCGGTTCGTACAGTGCAAGGTGCAGTTTTTGCCTGCTGTACACGGACTTGGTCAAAAAATCGTGTGAGGTCCCCCCTCCTGGTTAAAGTCCGCCGTGTTGCAGCTAGTTTGTGCAGAGTGCAGTTTTGCCTGCTGTGCACGGGCCGGGTCACCATTGTACAGTTGATGAAAATTGACATCGTGCTTGTGAAACCGCGTGAGGTCTCCTCCTAGTCCACTGACCTCCGTGTTGCAGCTAGTCTAGCCCAGCTTTTGGCGACAGCTGCCGGGCAAGACAGTCAACAAAAGCGCTTTTCTTGTCCTGCTATTTGCATTCGTTTGCTAGAGGCTTTACCCTACACACAGCGCTCAAGTTGACTTAGAATTAACCGTCATTTCAAGTCATTCTACCCCTCGATGCCCGCCAAGGTGTGGGACATGACCCGCACATGCGTCCGAAATGAAATGAAATGTTGTTGTTGTTGTTGTTGTTGTTGTTGTTGCTGTTGTTGTTGTTGTTGTTGTTGTTGTTGTTGCTGTTGCTGTTGCTGTTGTTGTTGTTGTTGTTGTTGTTGTTGTTGTTGTTGTTGTTGTTGTTGTTGTTGTTGTTGTTGTTGTTGTTGTTGTTGTTGTTGTTGTTGTTGTTGTTGTTGTTGTTGTTGTTGTTGTTGTTGTTGTTGTTGTTGTTTTGTTGTTGTTGTTGTTGTTGTTGTTGTTGTTGTTGTTGTTGTTGTTGTTGTTGTTGTTGTTGTTCTTCTTGTTGTTGTTGGTGTGGCTGTTGTTGTTGTTGTTGTTGTTGTTGTTGTTGTTGTTGTTGTTGTTGTTGTTGTTGTTGTTGTTGTTGTTGTTGTTGTTGTTGTTGTTGTTTTTTTTGTTGTTGTTGTTGTTGTTGTTGTTGTTGTTGTTGTTGTTGTTGTTGTTGTTGTTGTTGTTGTTGTTGTTGTTGTTGTTGTTGTTGTTGTTGTTGTTGTTGTTGTTGTTGTTGTTCTTGTTCTTAGCATCCAAATGTCCGGACGCCGAAACTCAGGCTCTGTTCCAAGCTGAGAGGTAGTGTAGTTCACTTTGAATGCCATGGGCCGGTGAATCTTGCCCAAGATGAAAGGCGGAAAGCCCGGCCAGCTGGTGTTCGTAAAGGTTGATGCTCAGTTTGGAAACCCAACATGGAGACAAGGCATCATCGTTCAGCAAAAGTCAAAAGGTGCAGCGGCGCAGTTCATGATCATGGTCAGGGCAGTGGATCAAGCATCTTTGCCAAGCTCAGTAGAAATTACAATGATGGAGATAGAAAGCCGGAAGTACATGATAGTGGAAGGGGGCGAGCGTCAGCTCGTGTCCAACGTGCCGCAGGAGCCTTTTGCAGCATTGGAAGTCAGTGGTGCCACTCTGCTGAAAGAAGGGAGGCGATGGATATCAGAGACAGAAGACATCCACACTGCCACCGCGTCAGAGGAGCCAGAGGCTCCCAAGGTCAGTGCGGATCACTTCGTCGATGTTCAAGAGCCGAGCGAGGAGAGCTCCAGCTCGGAGCCCAGTTCCGAGGCAGAGAAAGACAAGGACGAAGTGGACGACGAGCTACTCCGACTTCTACGGCAAGCGCAAAAGAGCAGTCCCGCTTTTGGTGGAAAGAGCGCAAGCTCCGGCGAGCGGAAAAGCAAGAAGGACAAGAAGGACAAGACTTCGCGAGGCTTCGCTTTGTTCGAGGGCGAGAAGACCAAGCGCAAATCGACTGGAAGTGGGGAGGACACACTGACGGAGGCAATGCAGAAGCTTCTGTTGAGTTCAGCAGGGAAACCGGACCCGCAGGCGCTTCAGACGTTGCTGATGATGAAGATTCTCAGCGACACCTCAGCGCAGGACAAAGGAAAGAGCCGAAACCTGAAGGACACCAGGGACTCGTCCAGCAGCGACTCGTCCTCAGAAGACGGCAAAAAGCTCAGGGGTGCGGCGCGTGCTTTCCGGCGCCACAGAAAAGCACAAGAGGCCATGTGGAGAAAACCCATGAAGCATGTTCGGACATACACAGAGGAGGTGGAAACCGAGTTGGGAGTGGAGGGCGGAGACAAGCCCTACCACCTTTGGGATTTCACCCGCAGAATCCCTTTCGGCAAGCAGAAGGGGCTCTTTCGAGCGCACTTCCTCGTCTCGCACATCCTCAAGCACCTGTTGGACGACGATCCGAAAGCAGCAGCGCTGATGACCGTGCTCACTCTCAGATGCCTGCACCAAGTGGCATTGGACGGAGGCAACTGGGAGATAGGCTGGGCGCTCACCAGTCTCAAGGACCCGCTGGCTCGGAAGCGGTGGGGCGGCGAACCGGCCCAACTGGAGAGTGCAGCAGAGTACCTTCGAGCAGTCCAAGATCTGGAAAAGCGCACCAAGCAAGCAGCTTGGTGGAACCAAAGTCAGGAGCACCAGGAAACCGAGCCTGGCGAGAGCGACAAAGTGTGGAGGCCGCCGGGTCCGGCAAAAGGCGGCCGCAAAGGAAAGGAGAAAGGCGACAAGCCTTCGGACGGAGCCTGAGATGTGAGCCAGGGCACTCCTTACCCGCGGGGGGGTCCTTTGAGTGGTTTTTAGAGCGGGCTTGGAAGGGCGCTGGAGCTTTTTCGAGGTTCTTGCGCCGTCTAAAGGCTTTCACCGTAGAGCCAGGGCCAACGGGCTGTCAGAAAGCCCGCAGTTTCGACTTTGCTCTTTTTCCGTCTCCGCTACCGCTGCCTGAGACCGTAGGTCGCAGCCTGGGTTGCACCCGCAACCGAAAGCGGAGGCGAGGCATGAAGGTTGCTGAGGATTGGGTTGTAGTCGTTTGGGGGCTGTTCAACTACTTCGAGGTTGGTTGCCCTGTAAGCGACCCAGCTCTTTCCGAAGCTGCCCAGCGCTGTGCGTCCTCACCTTGGACATCTAGGCATAGTGACCATGCTAGGAATTTGTTCAACGAGTGCTGGAAGTTCTGTCGAGTGAAAGCCCCTGAAGGCCCAAATCGAGGCATTGCTTCCCTTCTTGAACAGCTCGAGTTTGCACGTGCACGATGTTACGACCGACATGGGTTTGTAGACCTTGACTCTTTAGCGCAGCATGCCGGAGATGTCTTGCCTCACCGTATTTCTTTGCCAGACCAGGGAGCCGTGATTGACCCTGCCGAGCACCTGCGTGGTGAGCGGCTGGCACAGTTCCTCTCGATGCCAGATTGGGTTCCCGAGCCAAATGAAAGTGCCTACAAAAGACCTAAGCCCTGCCACAAAGTTTCGCCTGAGGACGAACTGCAGATTGCCATGCAGTTGCTTGAGAGCGGGTTGGCAGTTTTAGTTTCTGAGGAAGATGTGCTTCGCACTCAATCAGGCGATCCTGTCGTCGCAGGTTTCTTCACAGTTCCCCACAAAGCTGATTCTGATCGCTTAATCACAGATAGGCGTCCGCAGAATGCCACTGAACAGCGACTGTCGTGGGCAGTTTTGCCGCAAGGCCCGATGCTCACCCAGCTTGTGTTGCATCCTTGGGAATCCATCCGTGGAAGTGCTGATGACATTTCTAACTATTTTCATCTGCTGAAGCACCACGATGGGTGGATCCCCCGAAATGCGGTAGGAAGAGCCCTTTCAGGTTCTCAGTTGCGCAAGTTCGGAGCTCAGCCGAATCGCCGTTACTTTTTGGCTCTCCGGACCATCCCTATGGGAGATCTCAATGGGGTTTGTCTAGCTCAAGGGACTCACGAATCGATTCTACAGCAAGCTGATTGCTTACGCAAAGCTGAGACCCTTCAGTGTGGAAGACCTGCTCCGGCAGGCAGTACGTGGGAAGGGCTGTATATCGACGACCACATTGTCGTACAAAAGTTTTCCAAAAATTTTGGCGCTCGGCAGCAGACACTCAGGGATGATGAAATTCTAGCATCATCACGGGGGCGTTACGCAGAGCTTAGGATTCCTGTTTCAGCAAAGAAGGCGGTTACCAAGGCTTGTAGTTTCCAAGCTTGGGGCACACACGTCGACAGCAGCTCCGGAAGAGTGGGGGCGCCAGTTCACAAGCTCAGGCACCTGTTGCTCGCCAGCCGACAATTGCTTCAATTGCCTTGTGTGAACCGCAAGTTACTACAGCGATTGGTTGGGCTCTTTGTTCATCCTTTTATGCATAGGCGTGAGTGCATGGCTGTTTTTCAAGAAACATATAAGGTCATTGAGCGGCTGCCTCAAAATAAACTGAGCCCTCTCCCCCAAAAGTGCCAGGAAGAGCTCTTGTGGGCTACGTTGCTGTTGCCTTTCGCCCATGCATGCGTTCGCTGGCCAGTTTCAAATCGAGTCAGCGCCACGGACGCGACGCCGACCCATGCTGGACGCACGGTTGCAGAGCTACCGCCCAAACTTGCTGAGATGTGTTATCGTTATGGAGTTCACAAGGGTGAAGCTGTTAGACTTGACTGGGCACTAGGGGCTCTTGCGCCCTCTTCTGACATTGTGTCAGCGCCGAATGAACTGGAAGAAGCTTTACTGTGCGCCAGATGGAGAGTCACAGAACGATCGAAATTCAAGTCTGTGTGCCACATCAATATCCAAGAAATGAAAGTCGCAGTGAAGCAGCTTAAGAATGCCATTTCGCAGTCATCTGAAGGGCTCCGTCTGGTGAACCTCTGTGACTCGCGCGTCGTCTGCGCAGCGTGGGCCAAAGGCCGCAGTTCTTCGCGGAAGCTAAACTCCTGGCTTCGCAGGGTTCTTGCGCATAGCGTGGCTGGTTGTAAGTCCTTAGTTCATGTTTGGGTAAGCACAAAAGCCAATCCCGCTGATTATCCCTCTCGTAATGCGCCTGTCCCTAAACCCCTCAGCCCCACGGCTGGCCTACGTGCCCTCCTGTCTGACGCAGAAATCCAGGCTATGCAGGCGTCGCCTTGCAAGCAGCGAGCTGACTCGCGTGGACATGATGAGGGCTTGTGTGAGTAAAGAGTGCTTGCTGCTGTAGTGTTAGCGTGCTGAGACATCGCGCTTCCTCACCTCATTTTTGAGTTCGGGTCGTGCAGCACTCATGCTCTACCGTAGCCAATTTCGGTCGTGAATTCGTAGTTGTTTTAATTCCGTTGCATTGAAACCATGACGTTGCGGGGCAGCCACTTGTCGACCGCCTACAGACGCCGCCTCTTCAAGGGTTATCGGCTCTTGCAAGAGTACCTGTCTCGTGCAAACAGCAACTTGCATCATCTTGCCAGGCGTCGAAAACTGCTTGATGCTTGTTTGGAAGGGTTCGTCAATTGGGCTTACAGCAAAAAAGGGCCTGCGTTCCTCAGTGTCGCAAAACATGGCCTTTTAGTGGTGCAGTTGCTTTATCCGCATTATCGCCGGAGGCTGCCGCTAGCTTGGCAAACGTTGCTTGCGTGGGAAGAAGCCACTGAGGTCCGTGTCCGGCCGCCTCTCCCACTTTCGGTCCTAGCGGCTTTTGTGGTATTTGCCCGTGCGCAAGCGTGTGTCGCTGAAGCTGGACGTCACGAGTGGCTTCGTTTTGCAGTTGCGCTGGAACTAGGGTTTTTTGGTTTGCTGCGACCGGGAGAGATCCTGCAGCTGCGTGCGTGCAGCATCTCTCTGCCAGATTCTTGGATTTTTGCGCCTGTAGGCGTTGTGGTCCGCATAGAAGCGCCAAAGAATCGGCGACACATGAGCCGACATCAGTTTGTTCTCGTTGAGCATGCTCCCTGCTGCCATGCCTTGCAGAGCATCTTACCGCATTTGCGCCCACAAGACCAGTTGTGGCCGTGGGGCCCGCGCCGCTTCCGGGCCATGTTCCGTCAGGTCTCGCAAACTTTAGGCGTCGAGGCTCAGGGCTTTTCACCAGCTTCTTTACGTGCTGGGGGTGCTTCCCACCTGCACGTTATGGGGATGGAAATTTCTAGGCTTAAGTTCCGGGGTCGCTGGGCCAGCGAGCGTACGTTAGGCCATTATGTGCAGCTTGCTCTCAGCCGACAGGTTCAGCTGACACTCTCGCCAGCGGCAAAGCGCAGAATCACCACACTCCTTCGTCACGGCAGCGACTTTTTGTTTTCCAGTTTTGGCTCAAGCGCCAGCAGGGCTTCCCCGCGCATTTGCTTACCGGCTTTGCTTTCTGCGTATGGATCGCTTGCTAGCGCTTCATGGTTCGAAGAAAGTTCAACAGGGGCCGCACAGAGGAACCTTCTTCAGAGACTTGTCTTTTGTGCAACTTGAACGGTTTGCAAAGCGCTGCGCAGAACCAGAACTTCGGCTCTTCGCCCGTGCGGCAGTTGCTACGCGTGCGTTGGAGCCCGCCGATTTGCAGCCCTGTCGGCCCGTCCAGCCTTCGTTGTCTCCAGCGGCCGCTGCGCCTCATCCGGTGCTTAGCCGGCTTGAAGCCGTGTCTGCAGGCTTTCGCCACCTGAGGTCGCTTTTCGCAGAGGTTTCCAGTCTCAAGCTTTTCTTGTTGACAGTGTTGGTCGCTGTACTGTCACGCCCGTCAGCACATTTCCTTGTGGGCCGGTTCCTTGTACTCAGTTTTCGCTGGGCACTGCAACAAACTTTTGGTCTGCTTTTTCAGTGCTTGGATGCGCTTTTGCTCGAGTTTGTTCTCTGGTTGAGGGGTGTGCACGAGCCGCCCTCCGTGGGCTCTTTCATGGAAGCTTCTTGTCCTGCGTGCCTGGGTTTGGGCCCATTCGGCCAGGTTCTTCTAAGCACATTCTCGGTGTTCCTCGGCGCGCTGCTCACTCACTTGAATCAGCGCTTTCAACTGCCAAACCGTGCCGGAAGGCCGGTTTTGCGTTTGTGACTGGCCCGCCGCCGGCCCCTTCGCCTCCGCTGCTTGTGAGGGGTGGGTGGCATTCGTGTGTGCATCTGCCATGCATTCGTGGCACTGCACTTGCTGTGCAGCCGAGTATGTGCAAGTATGAGCATCTGCCATGCATCTGCGTGATCGGGCTTCTTGCCAATCTGTGTCAATCGCCTGTCAAGCACAGACCGACGGTCGTCATGACTTTCAGTTGCATCTTTTTAGGTTTCACTGTCGTAAGCAGCAATCGGCTTCAGCCTTGCTTGCTCAGAGAACACTCCATGGCCCGAGTTGCATGTCGCAAAAAGCGAGGGCGGCTGTTTGCTCTCATTGCTTAGTCTGTTCAGCGATGACAGCAGTTGAGAAGTAGGACATAGCATCCAAATGTCCGGACGCCGAAACTCAGGCTCTGTTCCAAGCTGAGCCGCCACCTCCCCTCCGCTCTGCCTCTGCTTGCATTCCTGTGCCTGCACTTCCTGTGCATTCGTGTGTGCATCTGCCATGCATTCGTGTGTGCATCTGCCATGCATTCGTGGCACTGCACTTGCTGTGCAGCCGAGTATGTGCAAGTATGAGCATCTGCCATGCATCTGCGTGACCGGGCTTCTTGCCAATCTGTGTCAATCGCCTGTCAAGCACAGACCGACGGTCGTCATGACTTTCAGTTGCATCTTTTTAGGTTTCACTGTCGTAAGCAGCAATCGGCTTCAGCCTTGCTTGCTCAGAGAACACTCCATGGCCCGAGTTGCATGTCGCAAAAAGCGAGGGCGGCTGTTTGCTCTCATTGCTTAGTCTGTTCAGCGATGACAGCAGTTGAGAAGTAGGACATGTTGTTGTTAGTCTTGTTGTTGTTCTTGTTGTTGTTGGTGTTGGTGTTGTTGTTGTTGTCGTTGTTCTTGTTCTTGTTCTTGTTGTTGTTAGTCTTGTTGTTGTTCTTGTTGTTGTTGTTGGTGTTGTTGTTGGTGTTGTTGTTGTTGTTGTTGTTGTTGTTGTTGTTGTTGTTGTTGTTGTTGTTGTTGTTCTTGTTGTTGTTATTCTTGTTGTTGTTATTCTTGTTGTTGTTATTCTTGTTGTTGTTATTCTTGTTGTTGTTATTGTTGTTGTTGTATATGGCTGAGCCTTGTTGTTGTTGTTGTTGTTGTTGTTGTTGTGGTCGTCGTAGTAGTAGTAGTAGCAGTAGTGGTAGTAGTAGTAGAAGTAGTAGTAGCAGCAGTAGTAGTAGCAGTAGTAGTAGTAGAAGCAGTAGTAGCAGCAGTAGTAGCAGCAGTAGTAGCAGCAGTAGTAGTAGTAGTAGTAGTAGTAGCAGTAGTAGCAGTAGTAGCAGTAGTAGCAGTAGTAGCAGTAGTAGCAGTAGTAGCCGTAGTAGCAGTAGTAGCAGTAGTAGCAGTAGTAGCAGTAGTAGCAGTAGTAGTAGTAGTAGTAGTAGTAGTAGTAGTAGTAGTCGTAGGAGTATTACGACGACGACTACCACTACTTTTCAGGGTTTATAGAGGGGTAGAGTGGTCCTCGCTATAATCGCCCTAAGTTCACCAAAGCCTCGGCCGCGACAGATGCAGCATGGGATAACGCTAACGCAGATAGCACTTCGGGGTTCACCGGCAACCCAGTCTGCGCTTTTGACACCGTCTTGGAGTGGACCCATTCTGGCGCAATGGCCCACTCGTTCTCCGCGGTCCCTTGCAAACGAGCCTAGCGCACGGTCCATTTGGGGCATGCTTAGGGGCTTCAAATCAGGGTTGTTTGTGACGTAAAAATGGGATCTTAGGGTCTCGGGTACAGGGATTGAGAGCGCGGGATCTTGAGCAATCCCGCGGAGGACCCCAAAGAATCCATCTCGCGATATTT